AGATGGAATGAGCAATAATTCCATGAAATGAGCAATAATTAATTAAAATGAAGCGTAAAATGTATATAAAAGGGCAATAATAACTCGTTTTTTTACAACAATAAACGTTTTCTTATCCTCATGAAATTTATATATAACTTTTATACATCACTCAAGCACAACTCATAGCACACTATTTTCTGATTCTTGGGTGTGGGTGTTAAACTACAATGAACCCACACCCACACCCACACCCAAGATCCGAGGTTTTCTATTGTGTCTAATCCCAAAAGTTTTCCAGAGGGTCTTGGGTAATGTCTCTTTTCTTTCTACAGATTGCAACTAAAAAAATTGTTCAGAAAGCCAAAGCGATTTTGATGCTTTGAGAAGGAATTTTTCGGATTTTAAAAGCCTAGATAAAAGGTTGAAAACACTTAGTTAAATTTTGTAGCTGAAAACTCTGAAAACTAAGCACATTGTGATGTAAATCCAGTGGTTGAAGTTGTCATTTTTCGAAAAATTTGATAATTGAATAAAGTCTTATACTAAGTCTCGCACGTATTTCTCCAAGGGGGTCTTCTATTATGGAAAGCCTTCTAATATAGGGACCTCCTATCGGAAGAGAAGGGTATGCTGTTTTGAGAAAAAAGAAAATAGTCGTTCGTATAGAGACTGGCGTGGCTACCGTGACTCACGGTCACGGTCACGATGGCAACGGTCGTGACCGTGACCGTGACCAAAAAATGTTGATCACGCCGATGTCTACCCCACACTCAGACCCTCCCACACCCACACCCATTTTTCTTTTTTGTTTCTTGTAAATTATAAATAAAAATAATTCACTTCTATCTTTTTTTGTTGCTCAAATATGAAATTAATATTGTTATATAATAAATTATTTATTGCTCATTTAATGTCAAAATATTGCTCATTTAATATCATAATATTGCTCATTTTATATTATAATATTGCTCAAATAAACATTTTTTATTGCTCAAAAATTATTGCTAAATCATGTTTTTATTATTGCTCATTCTATATTTTTTATTGCTCAAATAAATACAAGCCGTTTATTTCTATAGATTTCAAGTTTAGTAAAAGTAAATTTTCTTTTTTGTTTTCATAGGTATATTCGTCTTGCATTACCACGATCAAATGTACGCAAATGGAAATTTCGATTAAAAACATTTAGAGAAGTACATTATTAACACATAGACTTATTTACATACAAAAAAAAAAAGAATCTTCTCTACTTGATAGACAGCTGAGCTTGGTTATGAACGTGTTATTGAATGGTTACATGCTACAGTACCTCGTCCATCATCGAGTGCCGAAGGTGAATCTAAAGATGAACCTGTTGATGATGAAGATGAACTTGGTGATGCTGATCGAGTTGAAGCATCAGGCGATATTGTTAGTGTACCAGAAATCGATGAACAACAACGAATAGAACAAGTATGTTTGTTTTGTTTTGTTTTAATTTACACTATTGGCTAAAGATATTTCCATGCCGTCAGATCTCAATTTCTACAAGAGCTTAACATCTGTACTAAAACTACTTAAGCTAGAACAAAGTTATAATAGGTGATATTCACGGTCACTACAAATCTCTTAACTCGAGAACGAATAAACTTTTTAAGTCGTTCAATCCTTCATTTTGTAGCCCTGCATTATAGCTATTTCTGATATCTAATTTATCCAAGTTTAGCAAGCTATTGACTAACTAAACCATCTTTACTAAAAAAATTGGTTCACGCTGAAAGATTAATACTTACTCGTATATGACTTGAAAAACAACGCATAAATGTGTAAATCTATTTTTGGCTTGTTTTACTATCAAAGGGAGAAATGGTCTGAATTTGTCAAAATTCGGCTGCGAAAATCATTTTGGATGGTCTTAGAGTTTAATGAAACAATAGAAATCATTCTGGTTTAGAAATCTATTGAGCTCTCTGCGAGAACTTTATACTGAATTACAGTATATAAGGATACAGTTTCTGTACTGTTATCGAAAGATTATGGCTTGAACACTGTAGAGGACAGTTATCTTCAAAATTTGAGATGAATCTATCAAACGCTCATTGAGTTATTGACTCTTCATTTACATTTTATAGATTTTTGCTGCATATTCATGTTTTTAATGGAAATGATCTAGTTTATCAATAGCTTGCCGAACTTCGATGAAATTCATACTAGAAATAGATATAATGCAAGGCTGCAAAATAGAGAGATTGCACCACCTAATAAATTCATGTATTATCGAGTTACAAGATTTACAGTGATCCTGAATATCACCTATTATGATTTCGTCCTAGCTTGAGCGATTTTGATGCTGATGTTGTCGGTAACCTATGTTATTTGGAAACTAACTGTAGAAGAGAGAATATTTTTGACTAGGAATATATATTTATATAAACTTTATTATTTAGGGCTCAGATTTTGGTGATGAGATAGAAAGTGATAATGAAGGAAGTTTTTTGAGTAGTGCTGGAAAACAAAGAGCAAAACAATTAGTTGGATCAGCTGAAGCTAAAGAAGTTAAACAAACACATCAACAAGCAGTAGTGATTAAAGTTGATGCTGATATACAAGTTCAACCTAATGTAGATGATCAACAGACATCAACTGGAGATATTCTATCAACAAAGTAAACAAAATTAGTAGTTCACATACATCTATAATAAACCATTTTCTTAGATCACTTATTATACGTGTATATCGACCTGTCGGACTTTTGAAAACAAAATTTCAATGTATTATTCATGCTCAACGACAAAAATATACAACAACTGTTTTCATATTTGATGTATTTATCATATTTGTTCTTATACAAACTATCTCTATTCATCTCTTCTTTTTTAGAAGCCGAATACTTCAAAAGACGATAATGCAAAAAATAAAGGACGATTATCGACGACTCGTGTAGCAAAAACTGTTGATCCAAGTAAAGTTTCTATTCTTCTACAAATTAATATATATTTCAATTGTTTTCAGAAACTAAAAAACGTAGTGGAGATTCAACGACGCCTGATGATGTTGATATAAATACTATTGATAAACAACAATGTGATGAAATACTTATTCCAATGCCAAGTGTTCTTAAACGTCGATCATTATTTGAAACTGATATTGATCCTGATGCTATACAAATAGATCTTCTTGGAGATGACAAACTCTGTGGATCATTAATTCTGTCACCTGAAGATTTACGAATGCTTGTAAGCAATAATAAAAATTCGAATTTCTTTTTAAAAATAAAATATAAATCTAACAACATTTAAGGATCTACCAAATTTACATAGTCCAACATCTGCACCTTTGATAATTATTGATGATAGTGTACCAAATGTACCGAAACCTGTATCAACAAATGATCAACTTGATTTTGATCAACAATCAAATGAAGTTTATAAATCATGGATTTCTCGCACACCACAAACATTTACAGTTTATAATGACAAACGTGAAATTGTTGCTAAATTACCTTTACATATGTTTTGGTATAATAAAGTTCAAATAACTCATGCAACAAAATGCACAAGTAAATTATAGAATCTTGTTGTAAAAAAAAAATATTAAATATTCAATGTTTCTGTCTAGTGACAGCTCCTATGGAAGTTCGTGTACCAACACCTACAACAGTATATGTTCCTCAAGTATTAACACCAGTTGAAACACATGAAAAAGCTATATCACCAGTTGCAGCTACACCAACAATAGTTGTTGATCAAAGTACAGAACCAGCTCTTAGTCGTTTAACAATTATTGATGATCAAGTAGAAAGTATTAAAGCAACTTATGAAGATAAAATAAATAAACTTCATGAAAGTTATCAGTATGTTATTCGTGATATTTTTTGTTTTTGATTATTAGAAAATATTCACATATTTAGAGCAGAAATTCGTCGATTAACTAAACTTCTTAATGAAGTACCATCTCGACGTTCGAGTCAAATGGCTGAATTATCAGAATTAGAGGAAAATATGCGTGAAATGGTTGAAGAAGAACCATCCAATATAAATACACGGTAGAATATTTCGAATGAATACAAAAAACATAATTTGAATATCATGCATATTTTTATTATTCTAGACGACAAGTCAGACAACAACCAAAACGTGAAGCTGTTATTGAAAATCAACCAGCACCATCTTATGGCAAAGATCTTCCGAAAAAAGTGAGTGTTTTTTTTTGAAAATAAAAACTAATACAAAAAGATGAAATTTATTTAAAATAAATTCGAATTGATGATTTTACGAAAAACTTTTTTTTTAGGAATAAAGAAATTTCTTATATTTTATGATTATATTTGTATTTTTAGTTTCTCGATCGTTATCATATGTTTTTGGAACGAAGTATGGCACATCGTAGTCAATTAGTATCTAAAGTTGAACAAGAAACAGCACGTACAACAGAACGTCAAATGGAAATTCAACATCGATTACATAGACCAGAACAAAGTGAAGAACGTTATGATGGTAATATTATTCTATAGAATATATTTATATATATATAATATAATTTAAATAGATTTGTGTTTACCGGCGGTTTTTATGCCATTTCGTTCTGGAAATGTTTTTAATCCAAGAGCTTATCGATTTTTTCATCATGTTGGTAAGTATTACATCGTTTTCATTTATTATTATTTTGAAAGAAACAACAAATCTCTAGGTTCACCTGATCCTCGTCTAACTCAAACACCATCAATATTTAAACTTCCACCACTTCCATCAGGCTCGGTAAATATTATTTTATTTGTTTTTAATCATATATTTTTTTCTATTTCATGGTTTTTTTTTTTCATTTCCTAGGTATCTGTATTAAATCTTTTTGAATTAAGTCGATGTTATGAAGCTGCTAGTGGAAAAGATCATCCTGTTGATAAAACAACAAGTCAATCATCTCAACCAACTCAACCACCAGCGCCTCCAACAACTCAAACATCAAATTGAATCAAAAACAAAAAAGAAATATCTTTTATTCTTGACGTTTATTCTTTATTTTGTATTTTTAATAAAACTTTAACTTTCATCAAAACGATATCTGTTCATACTTCGTAAAATACTGTCTGTTACGTTTGATTGTGATAATGGTACATAACGAATATTTGTTGATATATCATGTGGTCCTATTGGCAAATCATCTTGTTTATTTGATAGATCATATTTATCATTATCATCGTCGAAGTCAAATGATACGGTTAATTTTTTCTTATTAGGACGTATCTAAAAATAATCAAAAAAATAATACTGATTGTAAATATACTATTTTTTTTTTAATTTACAGGAGGTGACGAAGTACGTTGAATGGATGATTGAAACTCATCTTTTTTGGATGTTGTTATCATATATGTTGTAATTTTCCTTTCAGATGACTGATTCGAATGTATTACAGTATTATTTAAATTATTTTGCTGATGAACATTGTTCGGAAATGATGATTGTCTATTATATTCAGATATTTTCCCATCTCCTGTACTAATATAATAAACTTCTGGTTTTTGTTCATTTAAAGATTGATATGGTATTGATGGTTTTCGGTTTTCATTACTCATTACCGATGATGAACGATCATTGGAATTTTCAATATCATTTTCTGCAATTTTAAGATGATATAGTTCAGGTTGAATTGAAGATGAATGAAAATTTCTATCAATTGATGATGAAGATAATTTTCGTTGATTGTATGATAATGTTTGTTGATCATCATTTACTCTTAAATAATAGACTTGTGGTTTTCGTTCATATAAATTTTGTTCAGAGATCAATGGACTTCGACTATTCTTAAAACTTGCTGATGATAAACGATGATCATAATTATTATTTAAATTTTCTGATGTTTGATCAGTGTAGATTTCTGCCATAGTGTAATCGGAAGTTTTATTACAAAATTGTTTTTGTTTGAATCGAATTGTTTTTAAAGCTTCATCTTTTAACCAAATTCATGTACAACAAAACTCGAGGGAGAGAAAAAAACATCACCATACTTTGTCAATAGAAACAACATGGTGCTTGAAATTTTACTTAGTTGTTGACAGAAACAAAGAATGAATAAAAATTTAAATATAAAAGAAAAAAAAAAGAAAGTCCTATGATAATGTAAAAGAAAAATAATGTTCATATTATTAATTATTTAATATGGAAATATCTCGTTTTTATGTCATTTAATAGATAAAAAAGTCACGATCTAGGTAGAATTTCAATACTAATAATAATAAATTATCCTCATCAAATATTTCAAAAGTATACAGATTATGATGAAAAATATTTTAAATGAATAAAATATTTTTTTTCTTAATGAATAACTTGTCCAGCAAAAAAAAGATTATTCAGCTTCTAATGAGATTTTTTAATTAGCTATTCAATTAATATGTCATTCATTAATTGAATAAATTGATATATAAGATTTTATTAAAATTATTTTTAAAACTTTATAATGTACTTATCCAAAAGCCTATCAATTTTCATACAAATTATTGATTTAACACTATTTTAGTTTCAAAGAAATTTCCTTTTATTTTAAACCTGGAATATTAATGAGAAAAAACCAGGTCGAAAAAACAATTAAAATTATTAAAAACCAGAGAAAAGAATTCTAAATTAAATTGATGAATACTCTCATTATTTTAATAGTCTGTCAAATGATCTTAATTTTAATTAAGTAATAGTTTTTTTTCCTAGATTCAAAAGATCTACCTATAATTTAAATGAAAACTCATTAGAATGCTTCAATTTGAATAACATGACAAGAAGAAAAAAAAAAGAAGATTTTTATCAATGTCATCGCTCATTTGAAACATATAATGAAGAATAGCATCTTCTTCATTTAATAGTTAGACGAAGAAATAAATTTAATAGAGAGAAAAAAAAAACCTGTCTTTGTCTCATATAACTAATTGAATTAAAGAGAACTCACAAATAAAAAAGAACACTTTGACTTCGAAACTATTTTCTCAACTAAAAGTTTTATAATAATAGTTTTAATGTTATTTTTGAATTTAATGCATTAGTGATTGAATACAATTTCACAAATAATTCATCATCATCATCTTGTAAACTGCACGATTAGAATTCTATATAGAAAACTTCTCGGATCAATGTAATTGTCCGGAAACTGAGAGCTTTGTTTTTTTTTGGAAGAAAAACAAAAGTCTTTATATAAGTAAAATTTTAAGATGACTTGCACTCAATAATTGTCATGTTTACATTAGAGAAAGTATGACAAAAGAACCGATAAAATTACTTGGAAAAAAGAAGAGAGCGAAATTTGAGGGAGGAGGAAATTCTTACTCCTACGAACTCTCTAATCAACAAAGATGATCTCAATCTTATTCATCTCTAATTTATTGAAAACAATCTCTATTTTTAGTTTATTTTCTACTTTGATGTTCTTATTTTTTTTTTATTAGTCAGACATTGATATAAACAACTATTGACTAACTAAATAGCCACCCTCGATTATTGGAACATTGCTTTGCATGTCAAGTTTATATTCAATAATGTGACAACAAAAAAAAAATCTCATTCTACAGACTAGATGACGAATGTCAATCTGCCCTATTTCACATTTTACTAATTGCTGTTTGTATGAGAAACTAAATGACTCTATAATAAAATGTGTAATGGTTTCTTAATATTTGTTTTTTGTTTTTTATTTGACTTCAACAACACATACATAAAAAAAAAATATTAAATATCTCAAGAACTTATTTTCCATGTCTAATATTATTTTACTAACGCAAAATGATATATAATATAAATTTGAAGCATGACTTTAATAATCTGTTGAGGTATGATGAAATAAGTTTTTTCTTTTTTTTAATACTAAAATATTATGCTAAGCAAAAGATATTTTCGTTAATTAAAAATAATTAATATATATTTGTAAGCACTCTATTTGTAAATCATGCAAAGTGTTATGGTTTTTTTTCTTTGAGTTTTTTTTTTCTTTTTTACTGAATAGAAATATAACAAAAGTATTTTGAAATAATTATCCGAGATTTTGATCATAATCCTATTTGTAAAAAAAAAATGTCATGTAGTAAACTGAAAGATACTACAGCAAAAAAAAAATATATCGGAACTTTTCTTTCTTCTTTCGTGTCTTTTATTAAAATGAATTTAAATTATAATTATTATAGTTTATTTAATCAAAAAAAAAAAAAACAAAAACTCATTAATGAAAAATAGATAATTAAATTACTGAATATAAATAGAACTACAAAAATAAAATAGAATAGAATAAATAGTCATTTTTTTATCCAAAAATACAATGTAAACTGATGTGTCAATATTTTATGATAAAAAATTCTAATATATTGATAACTTCTGACACTTCCTATTATTTTGACACTTTGTTTTCTACAATGAAATTTTTGTTATAGCCAACTTTATTCCTATTAATTTCAATAAATATATACGCATTTTTTCTGTGACAATATTCATTACAATCTATAGTTGTATGTTCCTAATTATATTTCTTAAATGAAGCAAACAAGTAGTTCGTCATTGACATTGTCAATGCAAGAGATGAATATACAAGAAATGTTCAGTTAAGATTTCTATATGCTTTTCTTTTTTGTATTCGTCTTCATATATTTTATAATTATCGAAACAAAAAGAAGAAACACATAGTCTTGATTCTAACTAGAGAACTTTTTTTTTTTGTCCTATTCCTTTTTCTTTTTCTTTTATTCGCGCGAATGACTTGTATTTGGTTTGTTACTCAGGCATACGGCATCTAAATCTGCATAGTATTGACGTTGCTTACGTATGGCGACTTCTTATTCACTTTAGCGCTTGCTTTCTATAGGAAAAAGAGAAAGCATCCAACGTTGCCATGTTCAATCTTCATTCCTCTAGTTTTTGTGACGCCAATCTAAAGAAAGAAAGAACAGAAGAAGAACGAGAACAAGAAAGAAAGACAGGCAAAATGCGAGAAATAGTTCTCTCTCTTCGTTCGCTCATTCAGCAACCGCGCAAATCATATAAGGCAAGACTTCGAGACTTCTTTTCTTTCGCGTGTATATGTGTGTTGTCGTTGAAGGAACTTCAACGAGAAATAAACTATGATGTTCATAGTAGCAGTAGTGATGATGATGATGATAATCGTAGAAATCGATCAAAAGCAGATGAATGTTGGTTATATATAAATGCTCTGAAAAACATCATTTTCCTTTCGCTCTCGATAACGACTAACGACGTTCACATAATCGATTCTACAGATTTTCTTCTCGATATGTTCTCTTATTTTTTTTTTAGTTATGTAGCAGTAGCAGTCGAAGCAGTAAGACAAAAAAAAAAGGAAAAAAAAAAAAGAAAAAAAAAAAATAGTTTCCGCTTTAGACTCGCGTTTGATGTCTATGTGTATTCATGCAGCCAAACGCTACCATCACAATCAGATAGAATAGAGACTATAAGACATGAACATTCATTCTCATGTATATAACAGAAGAAAAAAAAAACGAAGAAGAGAAATGTAAGTACATAATCTTTAATGAATTGATTGTGTGTGTTTTTTGTCTTTCTAAACTAGCCAATTTATCAAAAAAATATATATAAAGAGAGAGAGAGAGAGAGAATTTTTTTTTGTTTTTATCAATGTAAATGCGTGTTCATCATGCTAATGATGGCATGAGAGATCGTGCATAATATATGGGTTACTGGAAAAAGTACGGCTCACTTAAGACGAATATCCGGTTGTGTTACTTCGTCTCAAGGGTTTGAGGAAAGAAAACTTTTAAAATGAACACCCTTCTCCTGCTCTTCACTCCCAAAAGAACAACGAATATTCATTCTTATCTATACTCTTAATTTATTCTATCGTATATAAGAGAGAAAAAGTAGTTAAATATTATTTGTATTTAATCACAATGTTCTTTGTAAATAAACATAAATCGATGTTAAATCGGCTTTTGTTCGTTATTTATCACGATATTATTGATCAACATCGATTGCATACCCATAGAAAAAGAAATGTATAGATATATATATATATTTTTTTGTCTTTATCATAGCTATTCAATGAAAATGATTAGTTCGTTGATCTATTTCTCAAAACAACTAGTGTTAATTATTTTCTTCGCATAGTTTTACATTAATAATTGGAATAAATAAAAAAAAAAAGAAGAAAAAGAAAAAAAAACTTAAGTGTAAACATTAATTCCCAAGAGAACATTCATATATTGAAAAACGACAAAGACAAAAAAAAAAATGATAAATGTATATTTTTCTTTCTTTCTAGATAAATATAATAATGATATTGAACTAAATGGCTCATTTTACACGTTTTGTTTCATTTGAAGATAAATTCAATACAAAGTATAAGAAAAAAAAAGACAAAGATTATTTATTTTTTTTTTCTTATTCAAATAATTTTTATTTCTTTTTAGTTTATTTACATTTATTCTTCCAAGTACATATTTATTAGGTACAGAAGAAAAATTAATAACACGAGAATTTATTTGTCGACATATACCATTTGCATTAACATTTGTTAAAAATGGTGATCAATTAAATGCATTTCTACTACATCGTAGTCGTGATACAGAAAGAATTGAAATGACACTTGATTTAAGTGTTACATTATTATGTCGGGAACATTTTACACGTAATGAAACATTTGTTGAAAAAAATTGTAAATTTACAAATAAAGTTACTTTACATGGAAGAAAATCATTTACATCAGTTAATCGTTTATGTTCAGTTGATTATATGGATGAACGTGGAAATATTCAATGTGAACTTGAAATAAAAAATCTTTCAATATCATATATAACAGAAGTACAATTAACACCACAATTAATTAATCCTCAATATGCACATGTTATACATCCTACAAATAATCGACAACCAATTGATGCTA